GAATCGAGCGTGAACTCATAAGAAATATTCCAATAAATACATCACACACATTCTGTGATTGTTTCATTAGAACTTCTAAATAAGCTGAATGCTTGCTGAAGTTATGATCGTAATCTGGAAAATGAAAAACTCCTGTTAAAGAAATGATTACTGCTAAATAAAAGGTGCAAAACACTGCCTTTCAATTGGACGGTTTTCTCTCCGTTGTTACCTTACCAACCAATCAATCCACTTTCCTTTCTGGCTTTGAAATCTTATAAGTATCATGAATTTTCTATAACCCTGATGTTCAACACATTTCGTCATTTTGGAAAATGTATGTCATTGGCGTCATTTATTACAGTGAATTTTGATATTCCGCATACACTGTAACATGTCAATTCGAAGAGAACTAAATGTTGCGTTAACACGGCCTGCAGGCCGAAAACGACTATTTTTCTCGACTTCTACAAGCTTTTTGGTTAAAATATGGTATTTAAACATATTCCAGTCGAAAATAACCCAAATACAACATCACAACAATAGCTGACTACTGCCGCAGTCAGCTGATTTGTGCCGCTCTCCATTGCCTCACCAAACAGCGTTTGAAATTACCGCAACTCTAATGAGAAAGTGACAAATCACAGACAAATATGTCAGTTGTTTATCTCGATCGTGGGCACACAAAATAACGTCCATCGACAGGCTGTCGCGATCTGTCACTGGAGAATTACGGTGTCTACATGATAGCTGTCTAAACCTCTTTCACAGGCTTGGGAAAATTATAATTGTACGTAGTATGCTGTGTAGTTAAATACAATAGATATTATTGTTTAACAATTCACTATAAACTAATGTTCAGATGATGATATGTAATTTTGATGCTTCCACGGAAGTATCGCTGCAAATTTATGGTATTTTCAATAACATATTTAAAAACGATGTTTGTCTTTTACATATTCAGTCTGTTGTAAATACAAGGCATTAATCCCGCAGCACACTAATCATGACCATATGATCGTGGTAACTGTTTGAATTTAAGTGGTGAGGTCTTTATGGTTGTATAGATTTCTATTGATTATTAAGTATAACTCTCATTTAGTCGTACAGTTTGATAAGTCCGTGAAACTTGCAAACATTGGGATACTTCACGTGCAGTAGGTTAAGCCAGTTGGACAAAAATGGATAGGCGGGAAGAATGGTAATATAACGAGCAAATCCCAGTTAAATAATGTTCAGAATGGGGAGGTATTGCTGGAATAATTGTTAAGATGGGAAAGTAGCGGTTAAATAATGGTTGAATTTAAGTCAGAATAGAAAAAGTTATGCCATGTAACCAAAATTCGCCCACTTTTTCTTGCTATTGTCCATGATCATTATTTGCCCATTTTAGTCCGATTGGGGAGAGTAAGTGCCAATCAAGTAATCCGTAATGCGTAAGGACGTGGGATTATAGTCACTACGGAGTTTATACTGCTTAAAATGAACCTCATTATTCGAAACCAATTACAATTGCAGCCCTGTGAATTCCCAAAGCAGTTATACATCCTATTAGTTTCGTTTATTCGGCATATATTAGTAATCAGTAAGCTCTGGCAGGTGTAGAGCCAATGAGACGCATATCACTTCCATTTTCTAACTCCCTCTAACCCACTTTCTTCAGTAAACAATAAACCGAGGTTTATTTGAAACTGTCATCTTCAGGGATACGAATCAAAATGATGTGTAACACAAAGTTTTTATTATTAATGCATATAGATACAACAGGAGCTGGTCGGATTTGTAATGCATTCTGTAGCACCCCAATTGGACAAAACTGAGTGAATAATGGTCATGGAAAATAGTAAGGAAAAAATGGGCAGATTTTGATTATGACACAATTTCTCCTATTTTGATCTAAATTAAACCAATGTTTCACAATTTTAACCACTACTTCCCATTTTAACAATTACTTAGACATTTTCTTATTCTGAACATTATTTAATTGGGATTCACCCGTTATATTACTGTTCTTTCCATTTGCCCAAAATCGTAGGAGGTTGTCGAGCCTGATAATGTCGTTGATTTCTCGAACAGTTGCAGAGAGGTTCCGAAGCACAATATTAGTTGGAAGACGTTCATAAACCCTGAGTGACATATTGCTTGATTGTGGTGCTAAGCGGATGACGTGAAGCATATCGATAGTGGTATTACTTACGCGACCACACTCCACTATTTAGCAGGATATCTAATCGTAACAATAATAATAAGTACGGACAGGAAACACCATAGTATAGATACAAACGAAAAAACACCGCAACTGCACGGGCATATACATAATAGCCCCAAGACATGTCTTTAGCCTGCCTTTCTACGAAGGTGTGAACACCTTCGGCGCATCCGATTGATATAGGTGCAATGCAGTCAATGTAGAATTTAGGCCGCCTCAGACTGGGAGCATTCTTATCCGCAGTAAAAGGAGTGAAGCGCCTTAATATAGGTTTCAGCGAGGCAGGAACTTGAGGGACACTACAGATTATCTGACAACTTACAAAATAATACCTTCAGATCATCCATTGGCCTCTAAATTCTTTCCGTGAAGTAGTGTTTGGTTCACCTGCAGACCTCCCATACGCTCGATTCAAATGGATCACCTTCCCTCACGTATGTTTTCAGTTGCCCGTTTGCACTCTCCACCCTGTTGTTGCCCATGCTGATAATGAAGCGATTCTGTGAGGCAGACCAGTATTTCGTGATACTTTTCTTGCGTGCACTTCTAGTTTAGATTACAATTTCAATCACCTTGCGCCAGACTGCATAAATATCAATTTCTTGTTACCCGATTGGTATTTCAGTAATTAGCAGCCTGGTGGTTCTATGACATTAGGGAAATATCCAATGTGAGATCTGTTTAAACTGTCTATTCTTCCGATCGGTTAAGAATTACCTAGCTTGAAGCGCAGCCACTCCACTAATTTCTCCTGCAAATTAGAATTGAAAAGTTTCACACCAATCATTTGCAGATTATCATTGTTTTAGAAGTCTCCTACCTCGTGATTTTGGAATAATGGGGAAATATTACTTTAATGAAATAATGATTACATCGAATTTCACTTCCCTCATAGCAGATACAAGTTTACAGTAGTTGTCACCATATAAAACAAAAGGCAAATCACTTAGGTCTAACAAACATCTTAAAATTGAGATCAATATTCAGGCACTGTGCATGTACTCGTATTTACACACAAACCATGGAACCTTACCATATTGCAGCCATCCAGATAGCCTAGTCAGAAATACTTAGGAGTCGATATCACTTCTTTCAGCTTTCATGAACGATATTTTAACAAGACCCATCGTTTGTATTGCAGTGATTAGGATTAAATATGGAAGAATATTTATGTTTAAATTACATTTCTGACATGCAGTCTTATGCTTCATAACTTCCCTTTCGAAAGTGTCAGAATGATCTGTACTTGTTACCACAGATGGATTGGTTACCGTTGCTTACACAACATGATGTCATCCGAAAGTCACGCATTTGTATGGTGACGACTTTTTTGGGAAATTAGTAGTTCGGATGCCAATTCATGAGTAGAAAACAAGTACTACGCTTTATAACAACTCCCAGAACTGTGCACAGTGACCTGTCTGAAACAATGTAAACCAGTTAGCTGAAACAATTTTCTATTAAAACCCCTCAAGGTGACATTCGTATGAGGTCCCGCATTAGAGATTCTATGGCATTTTCCCAGATCAACAACTGCGCGTATAAATTCAATATATGAAATGCTCCCATGATAATTGTTGTAGTTTCTTGCGATATGATTAACTGTTGGTTTTTCGGCATTAGACTACCATTCAAACGTTTTCACACACAGATTACGAATGTGGTGTTCTGCCTGAAGACTTTTACCAGTTGATATCATTTAAGGAAATTATTTTCGCTTTCTTAGTCCGTTAGGAAACACATACATCGATTGAAACATTGTTTAGTGATTTGATTCTTCCACACGCAACAAAAATACTGTCAGAACCTCATAACTCACGTATTTGAGTGACTGATCGGAATAGCAAACCATAACCACTATGAAGTCAGTAATTATCATTTACTAAAACTTAATGAAGAATGCAATAACTGCATTCATTTGCGAATTAACTAGCACAACTTAAGTCCTCAATGACATTTCTAGAAAGCACAGTAATGACTTCTTTAGCACAACTTTCAGTGTCCAACATACTGTAAACTCAACCAACTATAGCACACAGAAATAAGCAACATATTAGCAAATGGAAACCTGTCTACTTATTATGCATTATTTTGAAACTCGTGCTTTGAATCGATAACTCACTTTCACTATTGATTTCGGTAGTTCTGAAGCACACAGTATTTTTGGAGAAATGTTACTCGATTATGGGAAAAAAGGAATTCACTGATGCTGAGCCCCAGATCGAAATAATAACATTTCAACCGTAAAGCAAGTGGTGTGAATTGGAAGGTAACACCAAACTCTACATAGCCTAACCAAAAATTCTTTTCTACTACAGCTCAGATGACCCTACTACAATTACTCAAGTGGAACAGTTAACGCTCAAGAGATACATTATGTAGCACAGTAAAACACAAACAAAAAGGTTAATGATATTCAAAATAACATTTCGAGCATTTTTGGGACAAAAAAGTAATACAGGTGCATTCATCTTTGTAATTTAGTTAATGAAGGTAGAGAGAAAAAAAGTCGACTTCATCGAAAGTTGTCTGTCGCAATATATGGATTATGTACAAACAAGCATGCACAGAATATACGAAACAAAATATAGAAAGTATGTGTACAAAATTGAGGTTATTTTGATGATAATAATAATGACGTGATAATTGAGATGAACGTCTTAGAAAGTCTAGTATATTCTTTGTTAACTTTCATTTGTGTATAAGTGTGAAGAGCATAGCATCTCAGTACGATAAATATGAATTCCATAGAATTAAATAATAAAGAAAAAAATCACTGTCCAGATTGTCAAGAGGCGAATTCACGAAGGTATCAACACTGTATAATGATCTAGGAATGATAAACAACAAGCGAAAATTAACTAAAACTAAATAGAATACTTCAATTACAATGTCATAATATAGGGATGGAGAATATTATAGTGTCATCCTCTTGAGTAATCAGTATATAACAATATGTTTTAGGTTCTTGGGTAAGCGTTATCAGTGAACATTAAATTTTTATTCTTTCCAACTTTCAAGCTGACTACCAAACAATATATGAAAAGAACAGTCTTAAAGAAGGCAAATATAGTGTGAGGATAAACTTAAAAATATGATCTTGTCACACCCGATAAGTGATGCAGTACAAAGAAGCCCCGTAAAACAATATGCAGAATTGAATATTAATGGGAATAAACTCACATCAATTAGACAAAATCTTTGTTTGGGATTCCTCGCCTGTCTGGAAGGATACTATGACTGATGAGCTACTGGAGGAAGTGGAAGCGGTACTGTTATTAGCGTCGGAATAAGCAGGTACAGAGAAAAATCGGCCACCGGAGCTTCGTATGCGATTCATAGCATGTTTGTGCCTAGATTCGTGGAGATACTTTCGTCTTTCTTTGGGGATTCGACCTTGTGCCTCTAACTTGGCTCGTGCTTGTCGACGTTTCAGAATCCTGTGGTACTGCTTTGCATTTACATAGAGAGGCTCTTCGCCACCAGGCGTAAGACTTGGTGACACTGTTGCAGGTGCTTGTGTTTGTTGCTGGTTAATCGTAGTTTCTGACTGAGGGCTGGAAACCTGAACAACCTGTGTGTTGGAAACAGTTTGAGATAGACCAGATTGAGGCTGATGGATAACTTGAACCTGTGAGGATTGCTGTATTTGTTGAAGAATATGACTCTCATCTTCAGTGGTTGTTCCCATAATCTGTCCTTGGGCAGATGTGAGATTAGCATCCAGAGAAGGGGCAGCAGCAGACACTATAGGCTGAGCGGTGTATAAAGTCTGTTGAGCAGCACTGGGAAGGAACATAATAACTTGACCGCCCCCAGCGGATGTAGCTAACTGCACTGGTATTAGAGTACCATCACTAGCCTGGACAGCAAAGGTAGTGGGCTGAGCTGCACCATTTGCATCCATTATAAGTGGTTGTTGCAATGGCTGTAAAATTGTCTGGGCTGGAAGGACCTGACCAGCATGTATATAACCGTCCCTGAAAGATATAAAAAAGTATATAGTTGACGCTACCAATCGACTACAAATAAAGTTATTCGCTTCGAAAAGTACCTTCAATAAGTGTATTTTTAAAGGTAGTGTAAAACAGTTTCACTTCTAACCCAACAACAGAAAGGAAATCGAATAAGAGGAATGTGGACTTCCATCAGTAAATCATGAAACATAAAACTAAACGATGGAGCTGTAAAATCACAAGTCACTTTTGGTTGGAACAAAGAATACGTTGTCTTAATAAAAGTTTAGTTTAAGAAACTGGAAAGGTTAACGAGTTGGGTAGATTGGAACGCGTTAAAAGCTTATCAAAACAACAGTGATCCTTTCATCAGTTGATATTACTCGATAACTACAGCCCAGTCACTTATTTTATTCAGACAGGAATACACACTATGCAGCAAACCAGTTATTAATCCAGGCTAACGCAATCAACATCACTTAATAGCCGAAACTGGTTCCTATTCGCAACGAGGGAAATCAATTCTCCGATGTATATGACCACCAAGCATTACCACCTTTCACTGTTTGATTCCTTTTCTCAACTCATTCCATGAAATAGCTACATGCTAACTACCATAAGTCTTGTTAAAAACAGTTATAACATAGTGATAGTATTAATAGCTAAATGACATTTCAAGCACAATGTATTGCTCATAAACATTATCAGTTGATATGATTAGCCCCAGGACAAACCTTCCTTCCTTCCTTTTGGACTTGGGTTTGAGTAGAAAGCTAGGCGAATATATAGAGTGGAATGGAGGTGGATTAGACACACGCTACAAAACATTTAAGGAAAATCACAAGGGTGAGAGGCGACGAAATGGACGTCCCAGAGGGAAAACGGCGAGCATGGGAAAAAGAAATGAAAACTAGTTTGGAGTTATGCTGCCAGCCGAAAATGATGACAAGGAACCGAGTGTACTGGAGACGTGCTACTAAATCCTATGTTCCACTCTAAACACAAGAAATGAATTAATATGTTTATTAGAAAAGGGAGTAAATTTTAATATAGCAGTAGACAAGCTGAAACCTCAAGATGTGATCCCTAAAATAGAAACAGCATTAAATGTGATAGACAAAACAATGGCCAATGAAGTACGAGTCCAATGTGAACTGACATTACAACGATAAAAAAGGAAAGCCTAACTTGACAAAGACGGAAGTAAAAGCCTTAAAAATGAATGACAAGGATACAATAATCACTAAATCAGACAAAGGGAGTCCAGCAGTAATATTAGATAAGTCAGACTACTTGGAGACGGTGAATACCTGAATACATAAAAACAGGACCATAGGAGGAAACTAAGAAATCAATACACACTGTTATGAATCAAGTTAAGAAAACTACAGAGGATCTTATACACCAAATGAAGCCGTTTCTATGTGAGTCTAAATGGCTGAATTCGATACCGAAAACTAATAAAACCAGTAGGAGTTATAATGAACAGATATATACAGGAGAAATATGAATGTGATGAATTTCAAACTTCATAAAGATTGATTACATATACACTATTGAGAAGGATTTTGAGCTATTTCATTACCACTCTCCAGTAACTGGTTCTTAGCTTCTCGAGGATTCCAGACAAATAGCTTACATCTCATTACGTGAATCAAACCAACAGACAAAGACTTTATGGATTGATACTAAGTTTCCGTCTAACCACACCTAACTATTTTCCAGTGTCAGCCAACATTGTTCGATCAGGAAGGCGATGGTTAAGCACGTGTAACACATGACCTAGCCATCTCAATCAATGTAGTTTCACAGTTTCATCAATTTAATCATCCTGTTTAACTACTACTCTACACCTAACGTGAATATTCATCATAATATTACACCACTTAACACGGCTGATGAAAGACAAACACTGGTGGCCAAAGACAACTAACCTCTTCATACTTTTTAATTCCAACGATCATGTCTCACATCCTTAGGAAGGACCGAGCAGACTGCTGAGCAGTACACACGTCCGGAAGTCACGTCTACAAAGATGACGCATGTTAACAAATCCCACACGACCCTTGTGTATCTGAGCTGGGATTTTACTAGCAATCAGTTCATTAGAGCTGATTCAACTTCTGAAATAACTGAAATGGTCAACATGCTCAACCTTTTCCCTCCCTATCCTGGAACTGAGAGTTAGTGCATACCAGTACTGCAGAATCATCTTACATCTGGCGGGGGCGAATCATATGCCAGACATACTAAGATTTCTATCCAAGGTGTTGAGAAGATTGCATTTTGCAAGTGTCTTCACTCAGAGTAGTGATACTGTCAGCATATTCGAAAGTGAACAGATTGTTTCCTGGTAACACAAGCCAATCCTAGCCAAACCACTGGTGTATTTATGATGAAATTAAACAGAGATGAAAACGCCGAACATATCTAACGACACCACATTACTTCAGATGACAATATTCCATGATCTCTAATATGACTGTGTGAATCCAATTAGTGCCTGAAATGATGCGCTGTATCTTCTTAACTCTCAGGTCACGGACAAACATTGCCACAGTACCTCTCGGTTGACCACTTCTGATGTGGTAAGTGTAAGAAGACTGTAAGAATCTATCGAAGGTATGACCGACTTAGCGTATGCAGACTACACAATTTTCTAGGTGCAGTGTGACATAATGCAGTCTTCTGACCAACTGGAATAGAAACCCTGGTGTCTGGCAGGCATGTATAAAAAATGAACATATTTGCACTTTTATGATAGTTATAGCATTAAGTCAGGAACTATATTGGTCATGTTCTTTAACAAAGCTGACTAACAGTTAGTGCTTATACAGACTTGCTTCACTTATCAGTTTGATTACACTGCTTTCTGCAAGAGTAAACTGACACTAAGCTTGGACGTCAGCATGTACGCTTAGTATGCTGCTACCTCATGCAGACAGCATTTCGACACTAACGGTAGGCACCAAACCCTGAATACCTTTTCAACTATGCAGTAAATATCATACATCAACCGTGTGGTAAATAACACATATAACAGTAAAAGGAAGCAAGAGTACTTTGTAGATTATAACTCGGAACTCAGGGACTTACACTATCCATTTCAATACCAATAGCGTATAGAAACTCGGCAAAAAGTTAGGGTCAACTTTCAAGAATATTTTGGGTTGAACTGTCTTGGGGGATATGAATGAGTTTGGGACATCAAATTTATGCTGATACTGAGATACACTAGCATTCCAAGAGATTATGGGAACCTCATGATTATCCAAGAGATGAGTCCAGACCTTAAATACGGCCTTAGCAAGACAAAGGTAGTATACGGCTATGGGAAATATAGATACGAACTCATTATACCAAAAACCAATAACATTTCAATGATACGAAACTGTATTACTATGTAAACAGAGGTGACATTACTACCACACATTGTCGCCACTTCCACGCTTTGTTACCTGGGTTCTCATTTCATTCCCAAGCTCCAAAAGTGTAGTGGTGAAATAGCTATATCTAAGGAATAGTTAGCTATTAGCTCAGAGTTTCGATATTCACGACGGCCTGATATACAAGTAATTGGCTCATTTTCTGAGAAGACAAGGACCTGTAGTTAGAAACTGCCGATTAACGTTTAACATCTTAAGAAGCACTTTGAGCAACATACAGGAATGCAGAGATTTTCACCTAGCGAGTCGCGGGCTGTAACTACGCTTCACCCACGGGGATTGTGTAGCAGTCATCATCCTCTATAACAAACATACTGCTGGTTTCCAAGTTCAATGACCTGAGTGATACCGGCGACTGGCATCTTAACTTTGAAATCTGATGAGAAACGACTACAATCCCACATAGTAATGGTTCAACTACGTGAAAGGATCATCTAAATCACCAACTCATGAGGTGATGTCCATTGTAAAACTGAAAGACGTTTGGTTACTTTTGCACAAGAATTAACAAGCAAAAAAGGCACATTCAGCCCTAATGCAAAATTACGACACAGGATTACGATATGTAGAAACATACTTAGAATAGCAAGTTCCTATCATCATAGTTTAACAATGCCTAGAAATGGCTGTTTAAAGATCTAGTCACCATACATAATAGAGACCTGTCAGTTGAAAAACAAATAATAATCGGTTCAAAACATAAAACAACTCACATCATTTGAAAGCAACTTCTCCCTTCTAATATTTCCCGAAAATGTAAACCCAGAAACCAATCTTTTCAGGCGGGCTGCGAAAAATGAATTCCAGCTCATTATAACAACAGCAATTTTGAAACTCGCTGCAAAGATTTAACACTAGTGAGAAACTTCGTGAATGAACGAATTATATATGATTCTTGAATGATTGGTAAGTCAGAAGAAAGTTAATTCGATGAGACTTACCATTGGTGCATCAACTTCTACTTGACTCTCGCTTATTGGGTCATGCTCACATTCACATATCAGTGATAGGTCGAGACTTAGTTAATAGTCATTTGCTGGGATTTTCAGTGGTTTAAACCATTCGGCGGTAAAAGCTAGTGATTGAAGGAATTGGATAGTTTTATACTGAATAGAAAACAGCTAATAGGCAATGAGGTTAATGCTAGACTATAGGCCAATGGATTCTAAGATAAAGTGTCCTTAAAACATCTCTTGATGGCCAATCAAGGTTGTGAACTTCAATTCTGCTTATGAACGAATAGTAAAATTGACGCCCTGGCAGCTGATAAACCAGTATAATTGAAGAACGTGATCACATAATACATGCAGCATTCTCGATAGCAGTGAAATGCAAACTACTGCATAGTAAAATGGTTACTAGGTGTCCATATATAGGGAATGCCTTTTACTTTTTTTACCATGTGGAGTGTAGCGTAATAGATTTATGTGATTTGAACGTACAAATTCTGACAATTAGGGGACGAACTAGAGGAGACAGTGTTAATCATAAAACCGTAGCACCTAACGGTGTGTATGCATGCAGGTGCATGCCTCTAACTTGCTGTAAACGTTAAAGCTCAGTGATTGCTCTAAGCACTAAGGTAACAAGTCAGTCCAACTGGTTTGCAGTGTTCAAATAAAAAAGATATATGCCATGTTGTAAGAAACATGAGAGTGTGAAAATGTTGGTACTATCCTATTCCATCTTGTGTTTTCGTGGACAAATACAGATACATATCAGTACCTAAGTGGTTAATTACACTTTTTGCATCATATGTAATAAACACGTATCTTGGAATAAATCGACTAGAAAGTGAAATTTGGATTTTAACGGCTTCGTTACTTCCTGGGCACATATTACGCTACAGTTACGATGCATTTTCGTTCTTTTACGGTACAAATATATTATGTGGGTCTTTAAGAACATCAAAGGTCCCCGAAATCAGATGAGCACATCCTTTTGTCTAGATGCACTTGTGTAGCAAGTTAGAGAGAAGTTATTAAGCACAGGCGTTCCACTTTTCATTGGTGGCGAACTCAAATCCGGTCAGAAATTCTGCCTTTGAAAATCTGAGCATATATCTCATTCACACAAGTTATTTTATGTTGAGGTATACAAAAAACGTACCGAAAATTCTGTGAACATCACACTGGTTTGAAATACTTCCTGATGTTTCATATTTAAATAAAATGTATGCATTCACATGCTGCATCTACCTAGTAACGACTCTGTTCCATAGCAGCACTGTTTATCATAAGGTGAGACCATTTCATCAAAAGATTGGATTTCCTAATAGAACATTTCGATGGAAACTGAAAAGCTTAGGAAGACTTAAAGAAATAGTAGAAACTGTTTTTTGATCACCTGAATCGATGCAGGCTATCATCCGCTATATGTTGAATGGATAATTTGTATAGCCCTATCGGAGACATTTACTTGTGACTTAAGGATTGGTAGAATCGAGAGTCTAGGAGTTCCTTGACACTGTCGACTGTCAAGCAATAAATTAAGCAGAATAGTTCGGCTTTTGTCGGAAACACCTAAAGGATTATAGTTACAGCTACCGGAGGAAATTAAAAGTTTCTTCTGAGTTAAACACAGGTTTTTTATTACCTTACATCAAATTGTATGATGCTATTTACAAATGCTCAGAGACTTGCTAACAAGACGCACTGCGCTTAACCAAAAGTTTTATGCAGTGGACAATTTGAGGGGCATTGTTGACTAACACCTATGAGCCAGTTTTCTTCCTCTATCTTCGCACCTCGTTAAGTTCAGACTTTAACATCTAATGATAGGACTGTCAAAGACATTACATTAAAGGGCTTGCAGGAAGAATCAGGTAAGTTCTTAATTAGTAGGAATTCTTAAATTATGTGGTTGCCTCTCTGAAAATTAACAGATGCTTGATCGTCATGTGCCTTCCATGAATGTTAAATGACAATCTTTGAGTCGTGGAAGAGACGAAATCAGTTAAGTTGCATGTTTGTTCATGATCAGTCATAAATAGTAAGGGAAAATAGGAGGACACAGTCCTTATTCAAGACTCATTACTGTCATCACAGCCAGTCGTTCTAAACTTACGAATTATACCCAGGATCTAGCAGCTGTGAGTGTTATCAGTAACTTTGTTACTTCAAGGCATACCACGCATGCGGCTAACCACATATAGAATCTCAAAGAGGTAAATCAGAATGAGTTAATCATAATGCACTAAAGAAATGCAACAGTATTCCGTTAGGAGTTATTTCGGAAATCAGGCTTTGAGGCATCCTCTATTTTTTTTAGCTTCGATTAAACATCCTTAGCACAGCACTATTTTGCTAGTTTTTCAGTGAGTGATACCGTCATTGGACCACTATACATGATGTCTAGTATTTTCCAAATAAACCTGTTTTTCACGCTCCTCAGACATAAATAAGCTCAAAATATGACTACTTAATGCCACTCACTCCTTGAATATATAGTTCTCATCACACATTCTCGTATACATCGTAAAGTACTCAGCACTTCCGCACTGATCATACAGACACAAATTAATTAAGTTTGATGTGAAGTACATTCGCTTGGATTCAACTGAACATTTAGGCGATGAAGGGTTCGGAAAACTCAGAAGATGAGATGACACTATAAAACGCTTAATTTATCCTTTACCCCCCAGGTACTTAAATAATTTAGGCCATAGAACAGTTAGTGAGCTACATCAGAACAAATATTAGATCCCTCAAAACTGAGAGGATATTTCGAGATCGCTTTTCCCGAGCAAAGGGGGGGCACCCTCGAATGACTGGAGTGCATACATGGACAGCCAAACGTAACACAATAGTGTACCAAATAGTGAGGGTTACTAACCTCCAGCTTGACTTATCAGCCTAAATAGAGGAAGTTAGCGGCCGGTGATGAACAATGAAAGCTACAAGCCAATAATTTGTGGGAATTATTTATCAGTATAGATCACTGTCTCCTCAAAGGGGCTGTAAGGAGCCCATGACGATACCACCAGGAAAACCCGAATTTTGACACCTTTAGTTAAACTCTTCCCAATGGCGTGATGGTAATATATGGTGTAATAAATATAAAAAGACTCATTATAGGTTCGTCCATGCATTCTCATGATTTGTTGGCTTCTTACTCACCGCCCGTTGCATCTGCAAGGGAAGACACAGGGACTGCCAAGTTCCTCGGTAAAAGATTATAAAAATATTGTTGAGTTCGTATGTGCATATGCAATACGGAGTAGGAGAACATCAAAAGAATTACTGTCTCCGTAACTCAGTGAACACTACGCAAGCGAAGCCATATGAATACACATAATTTATCAGGAGCCACGTTAACAAACATGGGCGAACAGAAGCCTCCCTGAACTGCCATTGGAATAGATCAGGCTTAAATGAACGCATTGCTTTGTGGACCTACGGAAGTATGAGATGAGATCCATCACCATAAAAACTCTTCTGACTGATCCGATGGAAATGAGTTGCCTACCGGTCTTCTGCCCATGGTAATGTGGTATATGTACATCTTTTCGTTGGTATTCATCGGTTGGATCTCGTGTTTTGTTCTCTCCTTCCTCAGTGCCCGCACCACCTGGAAAAGGAAACAAGACAGCTGAGCACCTAGTCGAAAAAAACTTACGAAAAAGTTGAATCAGGATACACATAAACCATGAGGAAAAAGCGAAAAGTACAACTCCGACGAAATATTTTAGCAGTTTGTCGCGTTGCTTGTGCAGTCATAAAAGAAAACACATTTAATCTATGATTTGGGACGCAATTAAAAGCTATCTGTATGTATAAAGGAAGCCTTCATATGCATAATAAATCACTCTTCAAAAAGCTAGGCGCTTTCGTTTCGTCCTGTAAGATAAGTATGGAGGTGATCTGGGGACCTCATGGCGTGTCCGAAACATATTCCAAGCTGTGCCTCGTAAGGTGCTTTGTTCGCCGTGGTGGCGCTGGTTGTCTTTCGGCCTACAAGTGGGCATTCTGTAGGCGAGGTTACTAGCGGAGCAACTGGGTCAGGTTTCATAGAATTGTATTCCATGTATGTCAGTTTCAGACGACCAATACCACTTCAGCCTTCATAACTATTTTTGTCTAAAAATAAGGTTAGTCTGACTATGGTTTTCTTAACAAGTTACAACCCTCTAACTGCATACGTTAACCACATAAAAGGCAGTTTATTGATATCACCTATCAGTCTGCGGCGATGGGAGTCTCTGAGTAGATTGTGATAGATAGGTGGGCGCATGCATATCATATGCATAGTAGCTTGAGAAGGAAGGGAAACCCACTGAACAGGTTTGCGTTTGGATAGACATATTTCCTCCTGAAGGTTTTAATAAGTTTTCCTTTTGCAGCATGTAAGTTGAAAGTAGTTTCTTTCTAGCGATCTGCCTGTGCGATAGGAAAAACTCCGGCTGCGGCACCTGTACCCATCGCGTACCGGGCTTCATTAACTGCATCTCGAATATAAGGTGGGCGGCTGTTTTCACCGGCTACAAGTTTCGTCTGAGCGTGCCGGAGAGGTAGCTACCCATAATGTTTGGATAATTGCTAATTTCGTGGATTTTTGGACAACGCTTAGCTTCCAGGCCACAAGTATTGTAGCGAAAGTGGTTTAAATTTCGAGCGACCACGTGAGTTTATAGGATGAGGTGGGTTTCATCAGCAGTGGGGGAAATATGGGAGCTTCTTGACCTAGGAATTCGCTTAACAGACCTGCATGACTCTGTCT